TTCAATATTGTGCTTTCTCTCTGGCACCCCCATAATTTGAATGTTGGTACACTTGGAGTTATCCCTATCTTTATATTTTTTCATTCTTTTTTTCTTTTTGCTCTTCTGATTGGGTGTTTTTTGCTTCTGCATATTCCAAATCATTGATTTAATTCTTGTAATCCTATATTCTATTGTTGAATCACTGTAAATTATTCTTCATTTCAGTTAGTGTATGCTTAATTTCTGACTGACCCTTTTTCATGCCTTTGAAATTCTCACTAGGATTCTTGAAAGACTCATTAAGTCCCTTGAAGCTCTCATTAAGATCCTTAAGCAACCTTATAATCATTGTTTTGAACTCTGTATCCAGTAGTTTGCTTGCTTTCACTTCTTTCACTTGTGACATGTTTCTTTGTCTCCATATTTTGGTTGCTTCCTTGTGTTTGTTTCTATGTATTGGATAGAGCTGCTAATTCTCCTTGAGTTGATAAAGTGGCCTTATGTAGTAGGTTTCCTGTAAGGCCCAGTGGCTCAGCCTTCCCATTCACCTGAGGTAGACACTCTTGATGCACCTCTTTGTGGGCTGTGTGCACAGCCTTATTGTAGTTGAGCCTTGATTGCTGGGAGAAATTGTCATCCAGGCCAACTGGCTGCGGGTACCAGCTGTGACTACAGTGGAAGTGCTGCTGTGCAAGAGACACCCTTATGGGGCAGGACTTGTTTCAGTGGGGCTTTGGTGCTCACTGAGTCTGCCCCACATGTGTGTCACTTATGGATGTGAACAGTTATAATCTGGTATGGTCTCACTCTGACCAATGGGTACACTGGCTCTTGGGTCTCCAAGAAGGTGCAAAGTCAGCCACTGCCTGTGGCTATCCAGCAGTAGCTACAGAGAGATCTGCAGATTTCTTCTCTTTTTATCAGTTTTGGAAGTGCCAAGACAAGGTGTGAAGCAAGGTAGGCTGGTGCTGGTGTCATTCTTGGGCCTTTGGGGCTCCCTGACCCAGCTGAAGCTTATTTGACAGGTTTTAGACTGAGAAAGGACAGGCCATTTATATGCAAAAGCTGCTGCACACAGTTTGGGTGGGGTTGTAAATTGAGTGGGGCAGGATCTCAGGGAATCTTCAGGGCAGAATAAAAGAAATGGCTGCCAGTCAACACAGCACTTAGAAGGTCCCAGCACAGGAACAATGACTGTTTCAAGCACATCTGTATGGAAGAAAGCCGCCCTCATGTTCCTTCCCTGAAGCCAGACAGTCCAGTTTCTCCCCATATGTGTCTGGGTCCCCCAGAGCCTCGCCCAGCACTAGAGCTCAGAGTAAGTGGGAACTTGTCAATTCAGTTCATGGTGCCAGGCTTTAAGAAGAGCAGCTGGGTCTCTAGCAGCCTGTGTGTCACTCAGCCCAATATCCATACTGGTTTTTACAGTCTGTAGTTCTTACTGCTCATAGGGACTTCTTTCCCAGCTCTGGGACCCTGGATATGGGACTGGGACTCCTTGCTCCTCCAGGCAGCCTCCACAGAGGCAATCTCTCTACCAATTAAAAAAGTGGTACATGTGGGTTCTGAACCAGCCCATTCCACGCCTCTGCACTTTCTAGCAATCTCAGTGCACTTTCTTCTTTACCTCTCTAGTTGTAGGACCTCCACTCAGCCAGTTTTCCTGGGATTCTGGATAATAGTTGCTCTGTGTATTTTAGCTGAAATGTTGATGTAGTTGTGGGAGGCAGTGAGTACAGGCGTTTACCCATGCTGCTATCTTGGTTCCTCTGTTGGAGAGTCTTAAATAGAATGTCCTGGCCCAGCTCAGGGATAACAGGACCACACTGGCTGCTGCTCGGGGACCAGTGTGCTGAGGGACAGGGTAGAAGGAGGTGACCTGCACATGCTCATGCAGAAGCTCCATGGTGAGCTGGTTGGGTTACAGTATCAGACAGTGGTGCCTGAGCCCTGGTACCTGACTCCAGCTTGGAGCTGGGACAGGGCTTCATTCTCTGAGCTTTCATTTGCACCCTGGTATTGTTTCACACTGAGAGAATATGAAGGGCTCCTTCTAGAGGCATCCTTGGGTGCTGCATCTCTGGATGTTCAGGAGGAGGAGGCCCTTTAGGCATATAGGTGTGTGGCTTTGGCAGAACGGTGTCCCCCAAGGGACAGCAGGCAGTAACCTGGCAGGGGAGCAGATGGTTATCATGTTTCCGATGCAGCTGAGACTCCTTGGAGAACCTGGGATTGGTGGGCAAGGTAGTACAACCATGCAGGGTTTACACGAACTGGGGGCTTTCATTATTGGTATGACTATGACCTAACTTACCCCACACCTGGATGGGCACAGACACTGCAGGGCTGCCAGGTAAGTGAAAGATGTTAGAGGAGACTGTAAAACCCAACACTGATGAAGGTACAAGTGCCTTTCCACAAAGCATACACTCTGAGGGAAATTCCCCCTGAGTGTCTGCTCTGCCCAGGCCTGTGCTAGATGGTCACTCACACAGCAGTCTTGGGTTAGGCATGTATTATCTCCTGTTGCCCCAAGTTCTCTCTCCACCAGCATCTTCCTCCCAGCATCCTCGCATTTACACTGGGACTTTGGTTCTGAGTGAGATGGTCAAAGGCACTGCAAGTTTTTCAGCGAGGGAGTGGCATAATGTATATTTATATTGATTTCTATTCTTCTTATGTGGAGAATGGATTGCATGGCTGACATGGAGAGGTACTAGCTTTGGGCATTGATTTGGAGGTAGAATTATGGAGGCAAAGACCAACAGTAGTTAGCATATTAATGTGAAAAGTCCCACTAAAAGACTAATGGGCTTTAATATTTAGCCGGGCTGAGAATCAGCATAATATTACCCTGTGCTGTCCAAATGGCTCAAGACAATCCCCTAACCTGATAATCCTTTTGCTGTTTACCAAATTTTACCTTTTATATGCCTGTTTGCATTCCTAAAGGGCAAATGTGTATTCAAATGAATAAAAAGCTGGCAGGTCCAGGGTTTTGGGGACCTTCTCCTCTAGAGGGAAATTTTCAACTGGCTCCCATGATTTCTAAATTCATATTTCTTATCTGGTGTTTTCATTTGTGCTCAGCCCCTTCTTCAGATCCTGAACCCTCACCATGCTGGTTGCGGTTTTCACATAGAATTAATGGGGAGGGTAGAAGGAATCAGAGGTAATGCTAGACCTTTGGTTTTAATAATGGGATGATGACATTTAAAAATATATATTTTGAATTTAGACAGAAATGGAGAAGGAGAGAGAAATGGAAACATCAGTGATGAAAGAGAATCATTGATTAGCCAGCACTCTATCCACTGAGCAAAACCAGCTAGGGTGACTTTTTTTTTCTTTCTTTTTTTTTTTCTAGAATGAGGAAGACAGAAAAGGAATAAGTTGGCTGGAAAAACATCAAGACTATTTCTGGCATGTTACATTTCAGTTGTCCACTGGAGATCTATTAGGAAATGGTATGTGAATACTGGAGTCTAGAATTCCAGGAAGAGATCAGGAATAGAAATCTAGATTAGAAATCTCTGCCTATAGATACTATTAAAACTCTGATTTTGAGATCACCTTGGAAGAGTGTGCCAAAGGAGGAGGAGGTCCATGACAAGGTCTGGGCTGCTTTAATATTTAAAATGGGGTCTGGAGGGAAGTTATCAGCAGAGGAAAGTGAGAATGAGCAACTGGTAACCAACTCTCAGCCCAATCCTGCTGAGAAGTACATTGAAATCAGAACAGAAGGTAACCACTGGAAATGGCAGCAGAAGCCTGCAGATGCCTCAGAAGGGCAAGAGTCTGACTGGAGTGGCTGAGAAAGTCTCTGCTGTGGAGAAAGTCCTTCCTGAGGAGAAGCCCAGAAACTTTGTCCTCTTCATTCTAGCCCCTCCTCAACAGACTCCTAACAATTCCAAGAAAGCTCCTTAAGTTCTTTAAACAAGGGTGACTGTTAATGGCCCATCCTGGAAAAGTTTAAGTGAAGGCGCCATGCAATTCAAACAGCTGGAATGTTAAACACCAGCATTGAGTTACGTAAATAAAATATTCATGGGGCGATTATTCCACTGATATATGAGAGCTGGCAATGCGCGCGCGCACACACACACACACACACACACACACACACACACACACAAACGCATTGCTATTAGTCAGCCCCTTAGGTTAGAATATTTAATTTCATGGCTGATAAACTATGAGAACAAGCATGCTCATCAGCATCTATTTACCAGTCCCTGGCTTGCTATGGGGAAGAGGACATCTGGAGATGCAGTGTAATGATGGCAACAGTGGGAAAATAAAAGGTGCAAAATGAAGTCTCAGCTAAGTCCCCAACCCATCAGACTGGCTACTCAGAGCACAGGCCCAGCTGATGGGGACCGGCTGTGAACCAGAGGTCACTTCAGTGAGCGAGTGTAGGAAGGTCTGCTGGCCCTTGTCTAGCAGAGACAGACATGCTCAGTGGACATGGCTTGATAAGAGGGGCACCGGGCATCTTCCCATAAGTTACCAGAAGATTATATTCACATACAGTTGACATGCAATTTGACCGAATACACACAAGTTTGCTTCCATAAAGGAGCATTTGGGAAAAAGAATCTTCCTTTTGGGACTTGAAGTATATCTAATCTCATGCATAATATTTCCATTTATTCATGGACTCCCTCAAGCTTTACGTTAGCAAAGATGTATTGAGCACTTACTCTGTGCACAGCACTGGACTGAGGTTGCCTTAAACAAATGCACAGAAGAAAGAAACTAGCCCTGAACACTGAATCTTTCTTCCAAACCAAGTGAGCTGCTGACATGCCGGCGCTGCTCCCAATGGGCACGGACACTCAATGGACAAAAGTAGGTTTAGTTTATTCTTGTATTCTTGTTATTAATTATTGCATTATTTCCCATACTAACACTATAAACCTGCTTTTGTCCTGCCCTGTACATAGCCCTTTCTAATAAGGATGTTCTCTCTGAGGAGAAAACATATCGAAAAAGGAGAGGCCCAGTCTAGTTCCTACCAGTGCGTGACCCCCATCTTCCTCGAAGTCCTCCTCTACGCCATCGGTCATCTCCTCGCCATCCGCATCGGGCCCACCTTCTGCAGGCTCCGCAGGAGAGTGGTCTGCGTTCTCCGACACACATTCATCTTGGATCAGCTCTATTGTCTCTTCCAATTGCTTCTTCTGAGCTTCTGGGGGAGGGAGGGGAGAAAGCAAATGACTACTACCTTGAGTTGCTCATGCACTATTTGGATAAACCATGAAGAAAAACAAAACAGTCTGTAGAAGGTACACTCTACTGCTAAGTGTGTGAGGAAGATAAGGTCCTGTCAATTTCAGTCAAATTTATTAAGTTTTGTATATTATGTATATGTCTATTTTACATGTATGCTTACTCATTTTTTAATAGAAATAGAAAAAATAGGAGAATCTAAAAGATACTGGTAGATAAAGAAGTGAAGATTTACATAAATCGCCCCACTGGTGTGACTCAGGTGGTGTCAACCAAGGAACCAAGAGGTGACTGTGTTCAAGTCCTGGTCAGGGCACATGCATGGGTTGCAGGCTTGATTTCCCAGTGTGGGGCATGCAGGAGGCAGCTGATCAGTAATTCTCTCTCATCATTGATGTTTCTATCTATCTCCCCTTCTCCCTTCCTCTCTGAAATTAACAACAAATATATTTTAAAAGGATGTACATAAATAGATTGATCTTTCTGGTTATACAGGTGGGGCAAAAGTAGGTTTAGTTTATTCTTGTATTATTTTTTAAATTAATTGTTGCATTATTTTCCAAACTAATAACTGTAAACCTGCTTTTGTCCTGCCCTGTATATAGTCCTTTCTAATAAGGATGTTCTGTCTGAGGAGAAAATATATAAAAAAGGAGGGGATCAGTAAAACACAGAGCGTGCTCATTGGAGGAAGGAGGGTAAGAATGCTCACTGACAGGTTCAAACATAAGTGAGAAGGACAAAAGCTCACTGGGATATAAAACTCAGAAGCAGGTATGTCATCTCCCAGATAACATGTCTAAATGGACGATCCTTTGAAATTTTAGTCTGAGTCTTGTTGGCAGTTGAGGTTCACCTCACAGTTGAGAATCGAGCTCTGGTGTGGGGTGGCCTGGGCTTGGCATGCCTCCTTCCCCAACTTTGGGAAGCAGAGCAGAGAGTGAGAGCCCTCCAAGAGTCTCAGTTCCTCAGTCTTACAAGCAGGATCTCTGCTGTGTAACTCTGAGGGGTTGGAGCAGTGACTCAAAGTGTCTAGTGGAGTAATTGCAAACCATAAGTGCTCAATGGACAAAGCAGAGAAGGCCCCAGCAAGGCTTTAAAGTGGTTGTTGTAAGACTTCATACATGTGTATATAAATTTATAAAATTGTCATCCAAATTAAATAGAGAAATAGGGAGTTAAATTAAAAAAAAAACGGTTTAATTTAGAAAAGGGGATCCAAGTAGCTAGATGAAGAGAAAGGCAAAGTAGGCAAAAGCTATAGACCCCAAATATCCTGAATTTAACTGCTATTAATCTGGAGCATATTAAACTGAGATGAGTCAGACAGACAAAGGCAAGTAGTGTATGATATCACTTCCATGTGGAACCTAAAAGCCAAACTAGTGAAAACAGAGAATAAAGTGGCAGTTTCCAGGGTCTGGGGGCAGGGAGAAGTTGGGACACGTGCTCTTTAAAAGTATGAATTTGCAAGGAGTAATAAGCAAGCTCCGGAGACCCATTGAGTATTGACAACAATATTGTATTATAGTCATCAAACTTGTTAAGAGATTAGATCTTAATGCTTCTAACCGCTAAAAAGATTATCACTGTGTAACCTGATGGGGTTGTTAGCTACTCCTGCAAGGGCCATTATATTACAACTAGAGGCCTGATGCATGAAATCTGTGCATGGAGGGGGTGTTTCCTCAGCCCAGCCTGCATCTTCTCCAATCTGGGACCCCCAATCCCACAGTCGAACATCCCTCTCTCAATCCAGGATGACTGGCTCCTAACCACTCACCTGCCTGCCTGCCTGATCACCCCAACCCCCCTGTCTGCCTGCACGATTGCCTCTAACCCCTCTGCCTGCTGGTCTGATTGCCTCTACCTTGCCCCCCTGCCTACCTGATGACCCCTAACCTCTCTGCCTGATCATTCCTAACTGCCCTTCCCTGCCTGCCTGATATTGCCCCCAACTACCTTCCTTTGCAGGCCTGATCTCACCCTCAACTGCCCTACCCTGTTGGCCTGATCACTCCTAACTGTCCTACCCTGCTGGCCTGATCTTCCCCCAACTTCTCTACCCTGCTGGCCTAATTGTTTCTAACCCCCTGCCAGCCTGATTTTATCCCCAACTGCCCTTCCCTGCCAGCCTGATCACCCCTAACTGCCTCTGCCTCACCCCCCAGCACCATGGCTTTATCTGGAAGGAAGCTGGACATCCAGAAGATGGCTAGTCAACCTGGTTTAATTAGCATATTACTATTTCATACGTATAGATAGATTATATAGAATAGAATTGCTTAAATGGTTGGGGGGGATGGGTTCCAGCAGGAGGAGATGCTCTTTGCAGACAAAAATACATAATTCCTATATCTGGACTGATAGCCAGCCATAGCACTATACTGCCAAACTGGTCATTAAAAAATTCAACTGCTTTCCTATATCTTACACCAAATGGCTGTTGCCCTTAAAACCCCTCCTTAGCCCCCATCTTAGGTTCTGCCCTCACAGATCACCCAGATTAGGTTCTGATTGGTCAGTTTATATGCCAGTCAGTATCAAAGGCTCCACCTCCTAGGCAATCATTGGCTCCTCGCAGTTCATCTAGATTTGGTCTTGATTGGTTGTTTGCTATGCCAGTCAGCTCAAAAGCTCCACCAGAGGCCGGGAGAGAAAAGAGAGGTTTGGCTGCTGGTGAGTAGGCTGAACTGCTGACATCTCAGAGAGAGAGAGAGAGAGGCTTGTCTGCTGATGAGATCTGGAGAGAGAAGCAGGGACTGATCTACAGGCTGCTTCTCTCTCCAGGCCTCACCAGCAGCCATAGCCACTGCTGATCAACCTCACCTCTCTTTCTCTCTCTGAGAGGTCAGCAGTTCAACTGCTCACCTGCTTCTTGCTCAGCCTGGTGTTAGATCAAGCCTTTGGTTGTTATGACCCTGGCTCTTTACATATATAGATGTATAAGTATATTCCATTAACATGTTATACTCCTCAAATTTATACTATCTAATATGTCAAATACATTTCAATAAAAAACAATCAAAAACCCCCAAAGAAACAAAATTTCTAAGTTTCATTCATCTCATTTCCCTTCCACTTCCCTCTCCAGTTCTAGACCTTATCCTAGGCTGGTGGACCTCCAGGACTGTGACCAGCATCCCCTGAGAAGAGGCTGTGAAGGGAAGACTGGTTTGATCAGTAAAACTTTGGAATCACATAAAAAACACACCTCCTGTTCTTATGTTGCCTCTGCCATTGCTGGTCGTTGGACCACACAATGGATGTGGACACTCTGGTTTTGTCCCCACATTCTTTTTCTCCTAAGAGTGTTTTTGTACTTAACACCTGATCCCTCTCAATTCTAGCCTCTCTACGTGATCATTCTGCTTGTTCAACTGGCCCTCAAATCCTGGAGTAGTATTTCAAGACAGAGAGAAATGGAATTTGAGATTGGACAGTTATTATTCCACTGGTGAATTTTTTTTTCAATTAACACATGCAATACTGTAAATATACTTTATCTCTCTTATGATTTTAATAGCATTTTCTTTGATCTAGATTATTTTTTATAAACATACAGCATATAATACATATAACATGCAATATATATATTAATCAACTGCTTGTATTATTAATAAGACTTCAGTCAATGATAGGCTGTGATAGTTAAGTTTTTGATGGGTCCAAAGGTATATGTGTATTTTTGACTGTGTGAGGGTCAATGCCTCTGACCCCTGTGTTGCTCTAGGGTCAACTGTATATTGAAAATTGTTCCAAATCTTAACAACCTTTCCTAGAGCAAAACTTTCTCAATTTTAGGTCATTGTGTTTATTTTTTGTTAATAAATGGTATCTTGCTTAAAATTGATATTATATTGGAATGTTTTGGTCTAGCATATCCATTTCTTCGCTAGTGGTTTCAGAAATATTGGTCTTAGAACTTTCCATTTTTTGATATTGGAAGTGATGTTCATTTTTTCCCTCTAGAAAAATCTCTAGCTGAGCTGTATGGTGGGTTTTCAGAGCCTCTCAGGGCCAGACCTTGGAGATGCACAGCCTGCATTGCGCTTTGGGTCTGAATTGCTCAGTTGTCTTTGGAGCTGAAGCTGATGTTGCTGATCCTGCTCTGATGGCTATCCCTGTTCCTTTGGTTCACCGATGCCTGGAACAAAGGCTCTGACAGTTCACCCTACAGCTGTCCTTTGTCTCATTCCTGTTAAAGTTTCCTTGAAACTTAAGCTTTTGTCTTCAAGGTCATAGTCCCACTCAAAGGGGATGATATAGATGTCAGTCTTTTGTTAAATGGAAAGTACAACAGAAGGCAATTTTCAAGTCATATTTTGATGTGTTCTTTTCCCCTCACTGAATGCCTAATACAGACAGGAGATGACATAAGGTATTAGACAGGATAGGGAACCCATATTCTCTGATTACTAGTCCTACTAACTGTAAGTTTCTTCTATGAAAGCAGAGCATATCATTGGCCCACAGAAGTCAACTTGGCTGCACTCAGAGTTGCTCTACATGCACATGAAGAGCAGGGGTGAGTGCCTTCTAAATTGTAAATGCCACACTAACGTGTCAGCACAAAGGCTCTAAATAGTTCTTGAATTAAATTTTTTTTATTAATCATTAAGAATCATATACTCCAAAGACAATTTTGGCTTTGACATGGCCCCTTAATTTTATTTACACACACATAGCGTTTTAAATTATTCCCTGTTTTTGTGTGTGTATTAATATACAATCTACATGTAAAAGATAAATGCATGGGAGACATGACCTGGGTTGAGAAAAAACTTTAAAGACAATGGTTATCGGTTCATAAAAGTTTAACAGAACACCGTCAGCCTGTGCGTTAGGACCTGTGGATTCCTCCAGCCGGGTCATCCCCTCAGCTGGAAATGCCACAGCACCTAAGCAAATGGGTTCAAGGAATGAAATTGCACAGGGAAGCACGTGGGTCAGTTCACG